CTACAGTCACGCGTCTGTTAGCCACTATTGTCACTGACCCGTCGTTTGAGTCTGCTGCTGCGTCTGCCTTGGTCGCTGAGCTTGTTGACTTTGCTTCTGCCTGTCGTCTAGACTACGCTGCTAGTCTTGTTGCTGAGTCTGAGTCTGTCTGTCTTCCGTCCGTCGAGGGTGAGTGTGCTCTTGGCACGGACGTCCTTGAGGACAGACAGGAGGACCTTGAGTGTCTTGCGGCCGCTGCGCCTCATCTCGTGGCCATGCTGCTTGCCCCTGAGGGAGACCCGGATGCTCTAGACATCCCTACCCCGCGCTCTTACGCTGAGGCGATCGCGGGTCCCTACTCCTCTCAGTGACAGACAGCCATGGACGCATAGATGGCATCCTGGAAGTCCACAGGCACTTACGTTGACGAGGTTCCCCCTCCTGGGGCGAACATCGTCGATGGCATTTGCTTTTTCAGGGTGAAGCGGCCGCCGGGTTCTCCGCCTGTCTTCAAGGCTCGTTACGTTGCTCGAGGCTTCAGTCAGCGAGAGGGAGTTGACTTCTTCCAGACCTTCTCCCCCACCCCGAAGATGACCACTCTTCGGGTACTGCTGCACGTTGCCGCTCAGCGTGACTACGAGCTTCACTCACTGGACTTCAGCACAGCCTTCTTACAGGGCAGCCTGCACGAGGAGATGTGGCTGCGCCGCCCACCTGGCTTCACTGGGTCGTTCCCGCCTGGTACCCAGTGGAGCCTCCGGCGGCCAGTCTACGGTCTCCGCCAGGTGCCTCGTGAGTGGCACGACACACTGAGAACTACACTTGCGGCTCTTGGGTTTGCTCCTTCGACTGCTGACCCGTCGCTGTTTCTGCGCACTGACACTTCCCTGCCGCCGTTCTACATCCTCGTGTACATCGACGACTTGGTCTTTGCCACTGCTAACACTGAGGCTCTCGCCCTGGTGAAGTCAGAGCTGCAGAAGAGACACATGTGCACAGACCTGGGTGAGCTGCGCAGTTACCTTGGCTTGCAGATCACCCGGGACCGAGCACGCCGCACCATCACACTGACGCAGTCACACATGGTGCAGCAGGTCCTTCAGCGCTTCGGCTTCACCTGGTCCTCGCCACAGTCCACTCCTCTGGCTACAGGTCACTCGCTCTCAGCTCCACCTTCGGACGAGTCCGTAGAGCCGAGTGGTCCTTACCCAGAGTTAGTGGGCTGCCTCATGTACCTGATGACCTGCACTCGACCTGACCTTGCGTACCCTCTTGGCCTTCTGGCCCGTTACATGGCTCTTGGTCGACACCGAAAGGTGCACTGGGATGCTGCGAAGAGGGTGTTGCGCTACTTGTGCAGTACGTCGGGCATGGGGCTCGTGCTTGGAGGGCGGAGAGACGTGGTCCTCACTGGGCACTCAGACGCTTCTTGGGTTGACGACCAGGCTACGCAGCGGTCGTCACAGGGTTACACTTTCAGCCTTGGCTCCGGTTCTGTTTCTTGGCGTTCTACTCGCTCGTCTTCTGTTCTCAGCTCCAGTTGTGAGGCTAAGATCTACGCCACTGCCATGGCTGCTCAGGAGTTACGCTGGCTCACTTACCTGCTGACCGACTTGGGAGAGCGGCCTCGTTCTCCTCCAGTGCTGTACGTCGACAACAAGGCCGCCATTGCCTTGTGTGAGGAGCACAGACTGGAGCACAGAACGAAGCATATCGCTCTGCGTTACTTCCTGGCTCGAGAGTTGCAGCAGCGCGGTCAGCTTCGTCTTGCACACGTGGCCACTCAGGCCAACACTGCTGATATATTCACCAAGGCACTTCCGTCTGGTGACCATCAGCGCTTTTGTACTTTGTTGGGCCTTGTGCCTACGTTTCCACACTTGCTGTAGCCTCTGCTTGTACTGTGATCCATATATATATACCTGCATGCTTGCTTTTGCTAGGTAGTGATCACTGTACTGTTCTTGTTGCATATATACCTCTGCATGTGAACTGGCCTTGTGGCCCTTTGCTTGTGCTCAGTGTGTGTGGTGACGTTATGATCCACCCTGAGCTTGCTTTGCTTTTCTTGACTGGTCTTGTGACCCCTTGCTCTCCCCCACTTTGCCTATGGGGGTGTGTCAAGTTATATATGTTATAGTTGTGTAGGCTGTAGTGGGGTAGCCAATATGGGGTACAACCCCTCTATGATTTGTTACTTGTACCCAACCTTCTTTCAATGCACTCATTCTTCCCTAGACTTTCTAACAGAATTACCGTTTTCCGTTGTAGAACAGAAATTACCGTTGTTGAACAGGTTTTGCCATTTTTACCTGTGTTGAAACCGTTGCGTTATGTATGTAATTTTCTAGTGAAGTTACTGTTCTCGCCGTCATGCTAGTCGAGACTCGAAATTTAGTTATTGAACTGTAAATTCGAGTCAATCCCAACCACGTGGAGCCTGAGATGACCAGTCTATCGTCTCCGCCATGAACCCCGTAAGCGGCACGACACCCCACCTGCCACTCTTGCTGACCTCAAGTTTCGTCCTTCGTCCACCGACCCTTCACTATTTGTACGTTCTGGTCTCACTCCCTTCTTCGTCCTCGTCTACGTCAACGATTTGGTATTCGCTACGGCAATCAGAGGTGCTCTGGCTAATGTGAAGTCCGATTTGCAGAAGAGACACACATGCACTTACCTTGGTGTACTGCAAATCACCAGGGACAAAGCCACTCGCACCATCACACTGACTCAGTCACACATGGTGCAGCAGGCTTTTTGGCGATTCGAGCTTCAGTTCTCCACCACACAGCCCACTCTTTTTGCAGTTGACCATAGACTCGCTGCTCCTCTTCTAGACGAGCCTTTTAAGTCTAGCGGTCCCTTCGCAGTGCTTGTGCGTTGCTTCATGTACCTGATGACCTGTCGATATCCGAACCTCGCAATTTCTCTCAGCGGTATGGCTCGTTTTGTTGCGACTAGGAGACACCGTCCTGATTGTTATCTGAGCGGTTGCTGTGAGGTTAGCCAAGTACCTGGCGACTACATCAGGCATGTGGCTAATGCTTAGAAGGAGAGAGTGTAGTACTGACCGGGCACTGTGACTCGTTTTACGCCGACGACGTGGAAACCTGCAGGTCTACTCAGGGGTATTGCTTCAGCCTGTGTTACGGAGCTGTATTGTGTAGATCTACTCGGTCGCCGTTTGTTCTTCGTCCAGTTCTGAGGCCGAGATCCGTGCCGGTGCCATGGTTGCTCAACAGCTTCACTAGTTGACCTACTTGCTCGCATACTTCGGTGAGCGGCCTCGCTCTACACTGACCTTGTTTGCTGACAACTTGCCATAATCATCCTGTGTCGAGACTCGAGAGCCTCGACTGGAGGGCTGAGTGAAGCACATCGACTTGCGGTACTTCCTGCTGTAAGAGTTGCAGCGACGCCGCTAGAGTTCAGACACAGCAAACATCTTCACCGAGGGCCTTCTTCTCGATGAAACCTTGAACTGGCCTTGTGACCGTTTGTCTTAGAGGCTGGCTACGATAATCGTACCACCCTGAGTTGTTACTGTTCTTGACTGGTCTAGCGACCATGTGTTTCTCCTGTTCGTTCAAATGCCCCTCACTTAGCCTATGGGGGTGTGTCAAATCATATATATGATTGTTAGGCTGCAATGAGGCACATTTTAGAGGGTACAACACTTCTCTCGACCCTACTTATACCCCACCTCCCACCCCCTCTCCTGTTACTAAGTCTCCACACTTCTTCCTTCAACCTGATTCTAACATCAACCACCACGACTTAAACAGATTGGGAGAGAGCATGTGCGGGTGGAGATGAGATAATATCGATAGCGGGGCGGCATAAGCAAACATAAAGCGCCTGCTTAAGTACTCTGCTGCTGAACTGAACTGAGAAGGAAAGGACCAATTTACATGGGAGGGCCAAACCCAAAGTCAGCTGATAGAACCCGCGGCATGAAGAACCCCATCCGTCTCTTCTCCTCCTCCCTCGCCTCCTCCTCCCTCCTCTCCTCCTCCTCCTGCCTCTCAACTGTCCTCTCCATCTCCCTCTCTCGCACTGCATTCAACCCCTCTTGCCCCTCACCTCCACCCATCCTCCCCTCATGCTCCTCTTCATCCAATCCCTCTTCCTCCTCCCTCCATCCGTCTTCCTTCCCATTTCCCTCCTCTTCCATCTCACCACCACCACTCCCCAAATGTCTGTGTCTCCCTTGAGTGTGTGTGAGAGAGTGAGGGAGAGGAGGCAAGGGGGGGAGAGCTGTGTCATCCACACCCAGGGAGTGCTGCGCTTGCACCAGTCTCTCTCTCGCTACAAACATCTCCCGCTGTAGGTACTGGTGGCGGGTCGTTGCTTCCTGCGATCATGTAGACAAAGAGGAAATGGCTAAATAGAGAGAAAAGATGTTGTGAGAATGAGGAGTCTATACAGAGGCGCCTCCAGAATTAGGGCAACGCCGGCAGGAGGTGGCAGTAACGACTGTGATTATAGCAGAGATTGAAACACCATGCACTCAAACTTCAAGCGGTGGTGCGGAGCATCTGTGTAGCTGCTGGCAAAGAGTGGGAGGGAGAAAAGTGAGGAGCGTGAATGCAAGACAGATGAGGCGCGAGATGACAAGGAGTTGTTTAGCAAGAGGCGGTTGGTGATGATGTGATCCAGGAGAGAGGAGCACATGTATACACCCGGACAGCACCTATGGTGCTGCCAGCTGTCAGGGTAGAAGAACGCTGAATTTACTATCTGCACGTTTTAAGCAAACTCTCAGTCCTCCTGTCAACCTCTTTGCTTCTTTCCATTCTCTGACCCTCCCTGAACGCCTCCAACTCCCCGTTCTCTTTTAGCAAGAAATCCCAATCGCACCTGTGAAACCTTACTGCACGCCCTCTCCCTTTTGTCACACGTTTTAAGCTCCTTTCCCTCGCCTTCCATTCTTCCGAGTCCCTCTCCATTGCAGCTTCCCCCGGCAGCTCTCACCTCCCCCAGCTCTCACCTCCCCCAGCCTTCACCTCCCCCAGCTCTCACCTCCCCCAGCCTTCACCTCCCCCAGCCCTCACCTCCCCAGCTCTCACCTGCACCTCTCTTCTGTGCGCCTCCTCCTTCCTCGCCTCTGCTCGCCCCTGCTTGCCCACCTCCGCCACGATGATGCTGCCACCCATCTGGGGGGAGGGGAAGAGAGGGAACGAAGAAGCCCAACTGTCAAGGACGAATGCTCGGATTCCGGGAGCAGGGGCTGGTATGCCCCTGCTTGGCCACCTCCCCCACGATGATGCTGCCGGCCACCTGGAGGGAGGGGAAGAGGGGAAATCCCAAGGCCCGGCCCAGATGTCAAGGAGGAATGGCAGGATTCTGGGGGAGAGAGGTTGGCAACACACATGCTCGCATGGCCCTGCCCTGCTTGCCCACCTCTGCCACGATGATTCTGCCACCCATTTGGGTTGGGGCGAGGGGAAGGGACGGGCGTGCAACCACAACGGGCGCTATTGTGAGGAATGCGAGCAGACAGACATGAGTGAGCATTTCCTCGCATCACCTCACCCTGACCACCAACACCTCCTCTCCTCACATCACCTGACCTGACTAGTGCTCACTTCGCTTCATCACCTCATCCCAAAGGCAAAGGTTCACCCAGCATGTGAGCCGCCAGGTCCACAGCCCTCTCCTCGTTGAGCGGCGTGGCAGGATGGGCTTCATAGTGCGGGCATCATGCTGCATACCTCCTGCAGCCTACATGCGACCACGCCCATTCCTCTCCTCCCACCACCTCACCACCTCAACCCTCACCCCTCACCCCTCACCACCTCACCCCTCACCCCTCACCCCTCACCCCCCCCTCACCCCCACCCCTCACCCCTCACCCCTCACCCCCCACCCCCCCTCACCCCCCACCCCCACCCCTCCCCCCCTCACCCCTCACCCCTCACCCCACCTCACCCCCACCCCTCACCCCTCACCCCTCACCCCTCACCCCTCACCCCCACCCCTCACCCCTCACCCCTCCCACCCCCACCCCCCACCCCTCACCCCCCACCCCTCACCCCTCACCCCTCACCCCCCACCCCTCACCCCTCCTCCCTCACCCCTCATTTCGAAGACAAAGACCTCCCCTAGCAAGTGGGCGGCCAGGTCCACAGCCCTCTCCTCGCTGAGTGGGCGGATGGGCTGTGTGGTGCCCACCCTCACCCCACCTGTGACCACACCCACTCCTCAGATCACTCCTCAGCTCACCACACCCACTCCTCACGTCCCAGGACCTCACCCCGAAGACAAAGAGCTCCCCTAGCAAGTGAGCGGCCAGGTCCACAGCCCTCTCCTCGTTGAGCGGGCGGATGGGCAGGTGGCGGTGCTGCCTGGGATGCTGCCTCGTGTCCAGCCGCCTGTGCACACGCACGTTCATGCGATGGAAGGCCTGGGGGGGTTGGGAAGAAAGGACGGAAAAGGGGGAAAGAGAGTATATTCAGTTGAGAGTGGTTTCAGAGGACTGAGAGTGGTTTTGCGGGGTAAGGAGGACAGTGGTGCGTGTCCAGCCGCCTGTGCAGACGCATGTTCATGCGATGGAAGGCCTGGTGGGGTGTTGGGGGGATGGGAGGGAGGTAGGAGATCAGGCAATGGGAGACAGACAGGCAGGAAGGCAGGCCGGGGAGGAAGGGGAGTAGCATGGGTTGAAATTGGTTTTACAGGGGAAGGAGTACAGTGGTGTGTGCCCAGTCGCCTGTGCAGGCGCACTTGCATGCCGTGGAAGGCCTGGTGGGTGGGGGAGTAGGGAGGCAGGCAAGCAGCGGAGTAGCATGAGCCGACAGTGGTTATATGGGGAAAGGAGTACAGAGATGCGCGTCCAGCCGCCTGTGCACAAGCGCGTTCATGCGGTGAAAGGCCTGGTGCGGTGACAACAGGCAGGCAGGGAAGGAAAGAGAACAGCACAGGTCAGGGTTGAGAGTGGTTTATGAGTGCCACACGTCCAGGCGCCTGTGAAGGCGCACGTGGGCGTGGCGAGGCTTATGAAGGAATAGGAGAAGGCATGGTGAGGTGAGATGGCTGTGTCTCAAGACCTTTGCTTCAGATAATTTTTGGGTCGACTCAAATGGTGAGGTGAGACGGTCATGCTTCAAAGCGTTTCCTTTGAATGTCTCAGTGCACACGCTGCCTCCCTGAAAGCACACCTGCGAGTGCGCCTGAAGAAAGGGCTGGCTTGCCTGAAGCCTGGGCAGCGGCCCTGAGAGTTCACCACCTGATGGCACAGCTAACCACGCACCTGAGCGACTCCCTCTTGGAACCCATGTACACACCGGTGCAAGCTTGAGAGAGCGTGGGAGGGCACCCCTGAGAGCACACCTGAGGGCGCACCTGAGGGAACACCTGAAAGCGCACCTGAGAGCACACCTGAGGGAACACCTGAGAGCGCACCTGAGCAAGGAGAATGACTTTCTCTCGGAAGCCCGTGTCATGCGCCGCAGCGGCGGCGACGGTGAGCTTGATGGGCGCACCGATCGTCTCCACCAGCGCCGCCAGCAGCCGCAGATGCACCGGCAGCATCGCGCGCGCAAGCCGCCTCCCCGCGCGCGCCTCTGCTCCGCGCCACCTCGCCGATACGCGCGCAGCGTGCACGGCGGGCACACCGCGCGGGGCTGGAACGGCTGAACGTACGGACCGTTTACGAGGCCGCGGATCGCGATGCGTGGAGCATGGCTGGCCCTCGCAGGCGTGCTGTTAGGCGCTTCGGGTGATGCGCACGGGGCGCATCGTGCGAGTTTTCGACGATGGGCACGGGACGGATCGAGAGGCGCGCGGACGGGATAACGGACGGGCCGTGGATCGACCTACAGCGAATCGTCGAGACAAGGGGAAGTCAGACGTCGACCCTGGTTTAATCTAGATCTCCAAAGCACGACGGACAGTGCGGCCTCAGACGTTCGCGCTGGGGGAATAGGCATCAGCATTCGCGAAAACAGCCACCGGTCGCCACCGCTCCCCACCGCTCGCCACTCGTCGCGGCGTGTGTTTCTAACAGCCAACAGCCATCGTGCCCGTCGTTACTCACCGTCGTCGCGTTCGACTCTGAAGCCCAATGCCTCCGTTGCACCGTCGCTCGCTAACAAACGCTGCCCGTCACCGCCACGTAGATGGTAGTGTGGGAATGGAAGGTACGGAAGCGAGCTACAAGGTACGGAAGCGAGCTACAATGCGGACGAAGGGGAACGAGAGTCAAAGCGCCGCAGGTACGAGGTTCAAATAGCGCTCTTTCTCAACCGCACGCTATCGGAGTGATCGTTGGCGTCTGCGAATAGATCTAGGCCTGGTGCACTAGGTGGCTATGAATCACCAGCGTTAGGACGTGTGTGATTTTTTTTTGGGTTTTCAGTTGACAACGCACGGTTTTCGAAACTGCACGCCAAATGCGCAGTTTCATCGCTTCTGGGGCAGAGTTTGTGCGATTTCTACGCAGCTCGACGCTCATTCGTCTAAATATCCGAAAACGACAAGCCTGCAATGTAACAGAAAATTTATTTAACTCAGTCAGGTGTTTCAAAATTTTCACGCCCATATAGAGAGTGCATCAATCCTAAACATCCAGTCGCGTGGAGTTTAGGGTTGATGCTCCCTCGACGGCAGCCATTAAAATATATATTTATATATATAAATATCGTGACAAAGGGAATCAGCCCTGAACACTTTCGGCCAATGTTTAGGGTTGATGCTCCCTAAACACTTCCGCCCGGTGTTTAGGGTTGATGCTCCCTAAACACGAGCCCGGTGTTTAGGGTTGATGCTCCCTGAACAGCATGCCATCCGAGAGGGTAATATATTTTCGTCTGCCCAAAATTCAGGTGCAAACAGTTCGATGGCCGTCAATCCAACCGGAGTTGTCGGTCCGTCAACATTTTGACCAATGAAATCTTTACTGCGTAGAAATCTCACTAACTATGCGCTGTGATCGAAAACTGGGCACTAACAGTGCGCCAGAAGCGACAATGCTGCGCTTTTTTCGTATATTTTCAGTAACAGTGCGGGATTAACTAAAAACCCATTTTTTTTCGAACTTCCGAAAGTTCGAACTTCTAGAAAGGTTATAAAAGGTGAAATACAATTGAGAAATTGTCGCCACGGTGCGAAGCGGTTTATGTTCGAACTTTGACCAAAACCCTGAAATCACACACGTCCTTAGGGCGTACTACTTGACGTTTAAAGCCAGGGTCTCACGTAAGCAAAATGTATTGTCAGATTTCGTTCGCCTGTTGGCACCTGTACGACACGACATCGGACCGCTGATGGAACTTTTCTCCCCCCCCATATAGTCCGGACGCGTCACGTTCGATAAACGTAGGGAGTATCGTGATTTTACTTGAGAATTAATACGATTCTGCTACATGGCCATAACGTCTAGAGGAGGGCTTACGTGAAAAAAAAAAAAAAACAATTTTGGGTTTGGGGTAAAAATCTAGTCTAAGTTGTCTAGTCCGAGTTTCCATGATCCGCACAACTAAAACTTACCATATAAGCAGTCAAAGTCCAAAATGCAAAACCATACTATAGTTTTGTACTACTACATCACCATGTCTGTCATCCAGCAACTGTTGTAACGTGCAAATCGCAGCGCAAAGTGACCTGCAGCCCCCTACGCTGATTCAGCATTTTTTCAGCCTTTTTTTTTCTGTACCAAGGCGTCAGCCTTTTTCCTTAAAAAGTTGGTGATTTTCTAGTGGTTTTCAATGGGAAAATGGCATTTTTGGCTGATTTTTTGCATTTTTTTTATTTTTTTCTTTTTCCTTTTTTTTTCTCTGATTTTCCAGCCTACCCCAAAACCAATCTAGGGGCCTGGCGACCTTCCAGCATACAAGAGTTCCTCCGCTGACACCGCGTGGCAGCAGCAACTTTGTCAATGCCTTTTGATGTTGTTGTTCGTCATTTGAAGCCGATCCTCCTTGCTTTACTCTTTCTCCGCACCATCTCCAATTTGGTCTGCCTCCTGCAAGTCGTACTATAACAAACCCTTAGCAGTTGATCTCGAAAAACACTGCTTATAGATGTAGCTTGAAGCCTTCTCTCCTATACCATTGCAATTTGCTGTAAATTCTTGCTCTATGTTACTGCCTCTTTCCCCATATAGAGGTTCAGCAGGTAGTTTCAACCAACTTCTGCTAATGCGTCGGGAGTGGCATTCGAACGGATGTCGAGCTGCTCCATTGATGTGGGGTTTCGTATCAGCATCGTGTAAGCAGCCAATGCCTCACTCTTATGTTTCTGTAGTTGTGCCGATGTGCCATTGGCAAGATATGACATTGAGCAATTGGAGAGGTGCCAGAAAACAATAGAGTGGACAACGAAGAACTCAAACTTGAAACTTCGGGCATAGAAATCGTTGCCATCGAATGGTGTTGCTGTCTTGATTTTTGTCACCTTGTTGATGCTAATTATGGCCCTCACAATTAAACCTTCTTCCCTGTTGCAATCTTTGGTGTGTCTGTGCAAGTGAGTGAGGCGATGAAGAGCCAACTGCTATTCTTGTACGAAGTGGTGTCATAGCTATGGCTGTACCAAAAAATATAGTGGATTCAAGTAGCTCTCATACCATGTTGAGCTGAATGCTCTATCAAACTATAAAGGATTGTAACACTCCTGGATAGATATAGACTTGCATGCAACGGGGAAGTTTATTGTAATAGGAAGTACCACAGAAAAATTTGGTTGGAGAATAATTGATTATAGGAAGTACCACAGAAAAATTTATAGCTAGACGAAAGTACCTATTCAAGAATGTACATGTTCAATGACTTCAACGGATTGTACCCTTTTGCTGAAGTAAAGCCCAATTCGCAAATGTCATCACATTTTCTAGTGAAGCGTAACTTACTAGGGTGAGACTCGCTGGTGTAGCTAAAGACTTGGTTTTTTCTTAAAATGTAAAATACTAATTTTCCTCAGCACAATGCATAGCATTGACCCCACTATTGGACCACGAGAATGTTTAGGACCGAAAAGGCTAAGGTGCCCCTTGTAGGTTGTCGGGCCCGTGACATAATTGGTTCTTGACCGATGTGCCAGGGCTTACCTTACTTCATAGGAGTGACCAGTAGTTGTGAGTGTTTCATAGGGTCCTATATAGGCTAATTACTGCTGCATGCATCAGAATGACCTCAGACTCTGGACTCCCTCCCAGCCCAAGTCCCCATAGTCCGTTCGTCACTTCCAGCGAAAGATTTTATCTCGTAACTCTCTCCCGGTCCAATCTGGACCCCCCCATTCCACTATTCACTATCAGCCCAAAACCACATGTTTCTCTACTAATAAACACCCCCCGTTCCTCTACTCACTCCCTGCACAAGCCCACGTTCCCCAATTCACACCCTGTGCAAGTCCCGGTTCCTATTCTCACTCCCAAACAAAAAATCCTGGTTCTCTTACTCGTTTTGAAACAAGGCTCCTCTCCTTCCCAAATAAATCTCTGCCACTCCCCCCCAAAACAAGTATCTACAAGCCTCTCCCCCCAGCCCAGCCCACCCTTCCCCCCTTCCCTCTCCCTGCCCCTCCTCCCCCACCCCTTTCCCATTTCCCAAGCCTAAGTCGTTTTATTCCATTTCTTTCAGCACATGTGGTCAAGTCCCCCATCATTCTCCATATGCCACTTCCTTCCACCCAGGTCCTATTGCTTCACTCCAGCTTAGCTTACCCAACAAATTTATACACAGAGCCGGTAAGCTGGAACATGAAATCTATTAACCAAATGTAACAGTCATTCATGATTCTTACCCTTACTTATAAAGGGTGACCCAACTACATTATTTAGCCTTTCTGTGGAGTGTGTTCGAATGATGTGTGCCTCAGAAAGAATGAGAGGGGATAGGAGAGAATTCAAGTGTAGGAAACACGTACCATAATCCCTTAAATACTAAGAGACCTCTTTTACCTAGAAGAGGATATATATATATATATATATATATATATATATATATATATATATATATTGCTGGTATATCAGAAGACCCGGTCTTCAGTGTTTCTATTTGTTAGTCACCTCCTCTTCACGAAATTATGCATATTGGGCATACATTATGCACTGCCATATTCAATTGTAATGGATATATTTCGAAATCTAATGCGTTCAGTATGTTAGAAACAGGCCCCTAGATTCGTTTTGGACCACGCTGATCCATCAGCCTTGGTACGGCAAAAAATTGTGACGGAAAAAAACGCTGAAAAAAACGCTGAAAAAGAAAAATGCCGATTGTGTATGGTTTAGATTTTAAGCATTAGTACAGATGACATAAATGAAGTGTAACAATTTCATGGATGGATTGGGAGTGGTGAGAGAAACAGATGGGCTAGGGGGGCCAGTGTAGCAGGTGGGCTTGGGGGAGGGGTGGGAGTAGAGATGAATAAGTGCGGGTCGGGTCAGAGATTTCGTATGTGTGCCCCGTGCGGGTTGACCCGACCCGACCCGACCAGGGCTCTGAACTCGGGCCGGGTCACGGGCCAAGATTGACCCGACCCGACTTCGGGTCTAATGCCCGACCCGATTTTGACAATGCAGGGTACGA